CATTTGGGTTAGTATCAATAACCAACAAACAATTGTCATAAACACTTCTAAAAAAGATCTCTACTTTTGTGTCTGGAAGCTGAGATAACCAACCAAATGACCAAAATGCCCTGTCAAGTTTTTCCTCCAGATATTTTTCATGCTCGTTATTATTACCCTAGGTAAACTAGTAGCCCCACCATCGAACTGCCAACATTCTCATAGAAGAAGTAAACTCATCAAAAGGACTAAAACTTCTCTTTGGCCTATGTCTTTCTTCTTTTCTTCTCTCTATTGTCACGTTTATCGTTCCAAACCCTATCCATAAGCCAATAATCCTTCAATTTCATTTTTTCCCTTTCTAACTAGAGAAAATGTTATTCTCTAATTCTTTTATCTGAGTTCGTATAAACCCAGATGACCCACATAACTGGTCACCCGACCACCATGTACTCAACCTCAAAACAAAACTTTGTTGAAAGAATCTATCTAAGACACACCTCCTTATACCAGAATAACAGAAACCTATTTCTCTACACTTAACAACCTAGGATCTAATGTTTTCCACATATCATAAAGCCCCAATTTAGTACAAACAGTCCTAGAAAATGAATCACACTTCTTAGTCTCAAACAGAAACAAAATTTGGATGGTGAGATCTAATGTCATTCCTTAATTGGAAACTATAAAGGCCAACTCAGCTCTCTACAGTTCTACACCACAACCTTCATGGTTCATTTTGAGGTCACTCAAGGCTGGCTACCCCTACCTAAGATGGACTTTGTTTCTTCTTCTTGCCTTGTTTCTGACACATCCCCTTGGATACCCCTTTTGAGTTTTGTTCCTTAATAATCAGTCTGCCCCTTTTCAATTTTTTCCCTTCAATAGTAGCCCTATAAATATCATTTTTCATCTACAACCTCCCTTCTTTATGAGATGACATTTTCTAAGTTTTTGCCTTCTTAAATGGGATCAAATTGTTGTTCCCAACTCTTTTTGCTTCCACTAACTCCTTCATTTTTCAGCTGTCTCATCTAATTCCAAATCCATGTTCTTCCCCTCTTTAGATTCCTCCCTAAAGCTCTCCTAATTAAAGTTGTGAATAACATGCTTTAACTCTCGATTATCAACTTGGACCGCCATATTCGTAGCTAACAATATCCAATCTTCCTTGGAGATCTCATCGGTGTCCTGATCATACAAATAATGGTTGTTCTAGAAGAAGTTCAGTTTAGGTTCGTGGAGGCCAATTAGAAGTCAAAAGATCCTGAATGGTGTCCTTGATACAGGCCCTAGCCTAGGTGGCTTTCTCCAGCCTTGAGCCACTCCTCATACTAACCCTCCTACATGCTATTCAAAGCTATGTTCTCCAATCTCTTAATGCATGCCCTATCCAAATGCCCTATCTTTCCGCAATAATAACAAAGATGGATAAGATTTTTCATATTTAAAGTTTACCACCACAAGTTGATTTGTCTAGCTTTACACTTTCACACCTAGGAACAACTTTCCTCACTTCCAGAGTCCCTAACAGTCTCAAAATTCTTTCCCCCACTCCTTCTACCTTCGAGATAATAACATTCACGATTCGCTTAAATGCTCTACCTATCTTCATCCCCACATACACACTTAACCAGTTGGGAGGGACATTATAAACTTGCACCAACATATTCAAATAATCAAACCTTGGATGTTTTTCCGTCATGCCTTTTTCCCACTCCAAGAGGATCAAGTATTGATTTTCAAGAATCTAATTAGTGTGGACTCCAATTTCTTCACATCCTCTCTTTTATTAATAATGAACTGGGAAGAACTAAACCATAACTCTCTTATTTTCATCGACTTCTGAATTCGCCATATCTGACCCATTGTTCTCTTCACTCCAATTAGGCTTTGGTTGCGGCCTCTTACGATTTTCCCAAACAAACTCCATCGACATTCCTCCTCATTTGCTTGAATATCCTCCGAGGCTATTTCAATCACCTTCATCTCCACTTTTGATAAAGAGAAATTTTGAAATCTTCTCTCCACTTCTTCATCAACCCATTTGGAGCTCGACGATCCTTTTTCCTTTGAATTTGTTACTTCTTCGATCTCATAATGAAACAACCTCCAAATTGGCAGAATTAGGTTAATCTCACCGAGAAAATTTCGCTCTCACCAAGAGAATTTTCCACAACTATCTTTAATTTTTATCTCACTAAATGAATTTTTCAAATGACTAATTGATTATAATGACATACAAGCCACTTAAAATTGCTTAAATAATGTCTATAACAATAATAGTTTAATATTTTTTCGACGAATTAGTTGGTGCGATTATTTAAATCGGTAAAATTGTGGGAAGAACTTCATGTCAGAGTGCATGTCGTCGACTAGATGACGACACAAACTCCAGTCGAATTGGGGCAGTAATTAATTAGAAACGTCACCAAGTGTATCTTTCAAGACTTAAAGATAATCAACAAATTTGTTTCATCAGTTACTCATCACATGATTGTACGATTAGTTCTGGTAATAAAGGGCCAGAAGAAAGACAATTAATTGCACAGACGTTGGTTGAACAATATTTTATTACTATTATCTGTTCTGCCTTCGTAGCATCTTTTGACTATTATATCCATCGCTTACGAGTAGTAATACCATAGCACTGACGGCATGACAGAATATGCAGTGGCATCTGCATTAGATTAGACTACGAGGTCAATATTTGCATTATTGAGGATAGCAATCAAGCACTGAAAATAGAGGTTAGGCCATCTCCAACCGAAAAACTTATTTTTAATCCTGAAATGCAGTGACTGTCACATCATACTCATTCTCAAACTCAAAAGAATATTCTTGGAATATTCTCTTTCACACCAACTTTAACAACTTTTCACTACTACCCATATATTTCATAATTTCACAAATTAGACTCATTATTATTTATATTAGATGAATAAATAAATAAATATGTAATAAATAAATTACATATTGATTATATGTTCATATAAAAAATATTAAATACATTTTCATTATTTCGTATATGATAAAAAAAATATATTAATTATAGATTGATAGTTCGTACACTTAAAAAATAATAAAATATACATTTTATTTTTTACATTTGAT